TTCAAACCCTCTGGCAGATAAGGCTCGATCCCTTCCAACACTAAAAATTAAGAACGAAGAAGAAGAAGATCCCGAATCCAAAGGGAAAAAGGAAAAATGGCCGACTAAGCAAGGTGATCTAGAAAAACAAACCAAGAAGGTTGCATACACCTGGGGACAGTTGGACAGACTATCCCAGAGATGCCTGGAAGGTTCTTATCTGCGGCCTATGACCTAGGATGGACGACAGGCTAGTAAGGTCCCCTTTCAAATCTGATGGTATTAGGGGCAATTGAAGTAGAGTTCACCATGCCCAGCCGCCTTTACTTTCCCTAAAGTGAGTTAGGTACCCATCAGAGCTGGGTGGTCTTGTGGACGTTCTACTGACTTGAGCCCGGATTCGAACTCGAGATTTTCAGGTTAGCTGTCCCTGCGACAACATTCCTAACCTAAAATAATATTGTTAATAATTATAAATTGAGGAAGTTGAAATTATTTTAAAACGTGTTTCTTGATCTTTATCTAAAGAAATTGATAGCTACGGGATTTTAACTAGGGGGAATTAGCGTAACGGAAGTTAAACATCTCTTTTGCAAATCAATCGGCACTGTAAATTAAGGCAAACCATCTACAATTAGCATCAACGCTATAAAATTATGTGCGTCTATTTGTGTATAGCTTTCGTAAGCCAGTAATTTACGACTTAGAATGCGTATATTTAAACATTATTTCTGACATCGATTCATTTAAGATAAAAAGTAAAATTACTGGTTAAAAAAAGGTACAAATTAAAAATTACAAGGGCGGTTTAACAATGCGTAGATTTTTAGAAAATAACTATTCTAGCCAGTAAGCTTACATTTTTGGATCGATTTAGAAGCGAATAAAATACCCAATAACCGCAGCAGTGTCTTTAAGCACGCCGTTTTTTATCCATTTCTTGACTAGTTAATGTTAAAGAAAGTGTAGATTTGCTTAATGTCTAGCCCTTGTTACTAAAAGTCCAAGTGGTTAGTCAAGCGTCTATAGTAGTGGTTAGAAAATTATTTGCATAATCCCTGGCCAATTTTTTGATTCGTCTATTCTTTATTTAATTTTAATTTCTTATTATTTTCTTATTATTTTTGGTTTTGGTTTTTTTAGTAATAAATAGCGTTATGAACAAAACATTAGACCAACTTTAGCGATGAAGAAAAATGTGATTTGTTAAAATACCCTCGACAACTTTGTGTGTAGTTCATTGCTTGGTACTGAGTTTTCGTTTGTTATGTATTGTCTTGTGTAGTGTGTTTTGTGTAATGCCCTGCCTTCTGTAGTATGTTGTGTATAATGCCCTGTATTGTGTAGGGAGTTGTGTGTAATGCCCTGTTTCCTCTAGTAATTTGTGTTATGCCCTGTTTTGTGTAGTGATTTATCGTTTGTTATGTATTGTTTTGTGTGCAGGGATATTGCGTATAATGCATTGTATGTATTGATATGTTAGTAAGTAATAGTAGCACTATCTTCTACAATCGATCTACATTCTAACTCAAGCCTAAATATCTTACATTGTATAATGCTACGTTTTAACTTGTTTTTTTTAATAACACTAAGCTGCTCTTAAAGTCAAAACACGTCTACTCAATACAGAAGAGCATTGAATTACTATCCATACTATCCTGTGACTTAATTTAGTGCGCACCTCGCCTTCTGGGCACACTGCGGGGGGGGGGGGAAGGGGGGGGGGGGTTGAGGGTCGGTCCGTCCCTTAGGTGTTGTGGGAGGCGCGACACACCGGGGCTAAGTTACTTACCTGTCCAAGAGATCCAGCATTAAGAAGACAATGCTATTACTTAATTGCTCTCTGTGACTTCGATATTGCAGATGAAGTAGAGTTCAAATATTACATCGATTTCAAACTACGTCATGATTGGGTATTATCAATGAGTCAAGGGGTTGGTGTTGTCACCTGAAAATTAACTTCATGAATAAAATGTGTAAATATAGAGCATAGACACACGCATACAAGTAAATACACCTGCGCGTCAAACCTCTGATATATTATAAACTGTGAGGTACGTAATAATATTAAGCTGCTAAATTAGCGAACTATAGAGAAAATTGTGGGAGAATTAGCCATAGAGCGAATATTTTCCTGCTGTGTGATTTTTTTAAGCTGTGGCAAACAGATTTTGTTTTCTCAAAAATGAACTGCTAATTTAGTTTAAAATGTCTTGACTTCACTAGATCATATTTTTTTTCCATTCAAAGCAAAATGACTTGTTTTCATAATTTAAATTCTCAACTACTCAGCTTTGGTGATGCGATTAATCCAACAGCGATACACTAAGTAATTGTCATCCAAATTATCAAGTAATTATTCGCAATCATATTCACTATAATGGTTATAATCATTGTAGAATTCCTAAATCAAACTATTAAATTAAATTGAAACAAAATAATAATAGAAATGCAAATGTTTTTTTTAAATGATGTGATACATGCTTATGTGCGTGTTCCCTATATATTTTTTTAGTCTTTTAAATTAAAAAAAAAGCTCAAGTATGAGTACACAATTTTTTTTAAATGACCAGTTAATAAATATTTAACGATACTAACATAGCACTAAAGTCTGCAGTATAAGTACTGTGCAGAGGCATAGCGACCTTTCATTTGTTTGCCCCTACCTCCTATTTCTATATATAGTTATTCCTGTCTGTTGAAAAGGGTTGTGGCGCTTCTTACTTGTTATTATTCCGTAACAGTTTCTATTTCGGTGCCACAAAATTGATATAGAAAACAGCTAAATCAGTCTGTAAAACCTAGTTGCCGGATATTTTCGTAACTCTGACTGTTTATATTTCGATACTACAGACTAAAATGAGCTTTAAAATTAATTTTTCTACCCCTTTTGGCGCCCCCTTGGGGTCAGCGCCCGGGCAGTCGCTCCCCCCCCCCGTCCTCCCCTAGCTACGCCACTGGTACTGTGTAAATATTACTCTTTACGTTGAAAATAAAATGGTCCTGTCTTTTTAAAAAAAAATGTCTGCAGAATTTATTTGTTTAAATATAATTTCAAACAGTCTTCACCAATCAAATATCGACCCGAAAGCTTAGAAACGTTCTCTTTTTACACTGATAATCTATGGAGGCAGGTGAAATAGAGTTCACCTGTTTATGTGACCTCAGCATAAGAAAGGAAAGAGTTATCAACACTATACCCAGCAGTCTCTTCTTCCGTTAACGTGTCGGGTACTTATCAGAGCTGGGTAGACTCACGGAAGTTCGACGAACAACCATATGCTCTACAAGTCCCTACACAGTTTCGAAACCTTTATAGCATTTACATGTGTATATAGCTAGGAAAACCACATTTGACAGACACATGTGACCGAACTAAAATAAATCCGATAAAATGATACAAATGTAAATCTTATTTAATCTTAGTTAGCTCCAATATCTTTATCATAACATGGCTTCATTTAAACACACAAAACATATTAGCCTGTGGCTTCTTTACAAAATCTAATTTATATGCTATTCAGAGTTTGATGTTAATTTAAATATTTGAAATATTAATTCAACTTCTATTTTTATCCTTGCGATAGAGTTCTAGATAGCAAACTTGAAAGTCTCGAGTTTGAATCCGGTTTTAAGTAAATAGAACGTCAATTAGTCCACCCAGCACTGATGAGTACCTAACTAACTTAAAGGAAAGTAAATTGCGGCTGGACATATAGCTGACCACATCTTCCCTTTATATGCCGAGGTAAAAAACATGAACTCTGCATGATCTGCCTATTGGATATGAAGGTTTAAGGATAAACCTTTAGTTTGTTTACATTTAAATTTGTACTAGGTTATCATTTCAACAATAAATACACGAAAACTTTGTTTAGAAACCAATATCTACGATTCTTAAACCATCATAGTCTTGTTTTATCAAAAAGTTTATGTTATTGTTATTTACTTTCCAATACAAAATCTCATCTCATCAAGTGCTCTTGAAACCCCGTGTTCTCAAGCAATGAAATGATATCGTGAACACTCAATAGGGCAGAGACTTGAACAATTTTCAGAACGTGCGCTTTGTCTATTGTATTGACCGGTAGTTTGTGATGTAGGGTCTAGACGGGTCAAGTGCCATTGACAATGACGGAGGGTTTGTCTGAATGTTTGTGGGTCATCACTCAGGTGCCACTTGTATGATATCCATCGTCGAGAGAATGAGTCTGAGTGAAAGGAGAGTTAGTTGGTTAACGTTTAAGTATTTGACTTCTAGTATATCGTCATCTAATTTGTTTCCTTTGAGGTTCAAATGTTAGATCGATCGTTGTTTGAGAACAGTTGGTTTACTTAACTAATTTTATTACTTCAAATAAGCTATCAAACATCAATAATTACACATATAGTTTCTTTTTTTTTTTTTAGATATTATAGTTTTATACATACTAGTCAATGCCCTACTATTAAAAACGTCTACTTTCTCTTCATAAAATATTAGTGGCTACCGTGACGATCTGTATGTTTTAGTTAATAAATCATAGTTTAAAACTCAATGAATTCGGTAACTGGTCGTAGATATATCTTTTTCGGGGAACATAACATTTCTGAACGGGCAAAATGTTACTGCTGATATTATAGATATTATTTTGTTGATATTATTTTGCAAAGAGTAATTCTGATTATACTGATTTTGTAAGGGGCTTTTCTTTCTTCGTGAACTGTGTTTGTTGGGTCGTTATCGCTGTGCTCAAAATATAAAGACAGATGGTGATAAAACAGATACTTACAACTGATAAGAGTCTATGCCTATGAGGCTTATACATGTTCATTTTAGTTTAAATATAGTTACTATTTTGATTGTGTTGTTTCTTTGTTATTCGATATGAAACGATATTTTATATTACATATAAATTTGTTCCAACAATTCCACACAGTCAATTAGAATTTGAATCCATCACAAGGGGAGATAAAAGGGAGATAAAAGCACGTCTGTAGGACCAAGCATGAGCACGATATGTTATCCCACGAACGCTAGCATGTCCGTCAAACTAAACAGTGACGTTCAGACGTCCATCTGGTCAAGCATCAGTGCCTGGGACATCTGGCTCTACAAGATCATCGTCCAATGCGCCGTCGTCTTGCTGCTGGGTGTCTTCGGCATCTTCGGCAACATCATCACCATCATCATCTTGTCTAAACACGGACTCAACAAGACGACCAACATCTTTCTCCTCTCGTTGTCATTCTGCGATTGTTTAAATTCAACGTTGAGTTTTATTAAATCGATGAAATACATAATTTCTCTTGTTGGCCCGCTAGTCGAGTATTATTATACAATAGTTGAAGCTTTAGCCTTTCAGGCGTCAGATATATCCACCATGTTAAGCATCCTTCACGTCACTGCCATCTCCATTGAAAGAATGGTCGCCGTGTCGTTCCCATTTCAGGTGTCAAAAATTTTCACAGCTTTTCGAGTTCGCTGGGTGCTTGTGTTTTTATACGTGTACACGTTTGCTTCCTACATTCCAGCGTTCTGTTTCCAATCCCTGTCTTATAAATTCAGCGCTAAATTCAATTCAACTGTTCTAAAATGGACGTACTCTGATGTCATGTTAAGTCACGGACAAGACTTCCGGATTTATTTAGCCATCTACCTCGTCACGGCTCTCATCGTTTTTCCCCTAACCGTCACCATCATCAGCACTTTCATCATCATCCTCCACGTACAGTTCCTCAAGTCTAAAACGTTATCCAAGAAAGCGTCCACGAAAATCAAAGACAGAAAGATCGTCCGGATGTTGCTGGTGCACTGTTTCCTGGCGATGCTGGTGTTCATTCCAAGTTCCATCATAGACATGTGTGGGCTGTACTTTGACTTAACCAACACCCTCTACCTGTACCAATTGCTGACCTACATCACCCCGGCACTGTACCAGCTGAACGCCTCAATCAACTTTGTCATCTACATCACCATGAGCTCCAAGTTCGCCAATACGTACAGGTCACTGTTTAAACTATCAGAGAAACATTCCAAACTTTTATAACGAACTGCCAATTGATGGAAATCTTGTTTATTATTCTACTAGCTATCTAATAGGTCACTGTTTAAACAAACAGATAAACATTCCAAACTTTTATAACGAACTGCCAAATGATGGAAATCTTGTTTATTATTGTACTAGCTATCCAATAGCCAATACATATAGGTCACTGTTTAAACGAACAGATAAACATTCCAAACTTTTATAACGAACTGCGAAATGATGGAAATCTTGTTTATTATTCTACTAGTTATCTAATAGCCAATACATATAGGTCACTGTTTAAACGAACAGAGAAACATTCCAAACTTTTATAACGAACTGCCAAATGATGGAAATCTTGTTTATTATTCTACTAGCTATCTAATAGCCAATACATATAGGTCACTGTTTAAACGAACAGATAAACATTCCAAACCTTTATAACGAACTGCCAAATGATGGGAATCTTGTTTATTATTGTACTAGCTTTTCAATAGCCAATACATATAGGTCACTGTTTAAACGAACAGAGAAGAAACATTCCAAACTTTTATAAGGAGCTGCCAAATGATGGAAATATTGTTTATTATTGTACTAGCTATCCAATAGCCAATACATACAGGTCACAGTTTAAACGAACAGAGAAACATTCCAAACTTTTATGACGAACTGCCAAATAATGAAAATCTTGTTTATTATTCTACTAGCTAAACTGAACACTGATAAGGTATAAGTTAAATAAAGGTAAAACATTTACAGTCATGATGAACATTGTTTCAAATTATTTAAATCTCCATGAATTATTTTTTTTAAATCTTGGTTTTTACGTTTATCCGACGTTATGCTAACACAGTTTTAAAAAAAAAAATCTAACTACACTTTCGATATGGAAACTGTTTCAGTTTTATTTTTCTTCTTATTCATGAAGTTGTGATTCACCGATTTGACCCATCTCGACATACGAGATCTTTGAGATACGAGCTTTTGAACTAGCTACAATTTAATATACGAGATGTTTAACGAGCTATAATTTGAGATACATACAAGCTGTTGAACTAGCTAAACTTTGAGATACGAGCTTTTGAACTAACTACAATTTAATATACGAGATGTTGAACGAGCTATAATTTGAGATACAAGCTGTCGAACTAGCTAAACTTTGAGATACGAGCAACCGGAATAACGGGATTAAGAATTTGTTGAACAGAAACACACCGAAAATGTTGCAATTGATTGTGCTTCTATGATATTGTATTACACCTAGCTTACTTATTTCCCTAAATATTTTGAAAGGGAATGAAAAACAAACCTTAGAGTGTTTAACTTTGACGTGCATAATGGGGGATAGGGGGGAGGAGGGGAGCCAACTTCAGCGAAAATAAAAACAGTGATGAAAATAATGCGATATTTACAAAACATTTTATAATAACATTTACGTTCTATTGAGTTATGTTATTTTAAGGGAAAAAGACTAGCGTTCAGTCTGTAACGAATAAGTAAATTGACAGAAAGAGCTAAGCATTAACAGTAAATAAATGAAGGAAGTGAAACTCTTACAACCTACACACCTCCTAAACATCCTAAACCTCCACCAGCATATTCCAAAAGCTCAAGGCGGCTGATTTTGAAAGTAAATACGATTTGTAAATCGTGTTCATTTCTTTGAATTATCTTCTATTATGTTATTAAATAATAATTGGCATGAATAAACACAATTTTCTTATTTCTAATAATAAAAAAATGTATAAAAAACAACAACTCGGAGGTAATTGTGGGCTATTCCGGGTTTATTGCATTACGATTAATTTCAATGGGGAAATTGGCTTTTAGACATACAAGCAAAGTTATGGAGTGAATTAAACTCGAGGTGCCACTGTATTGGATACAAAATTAAATACTGATCGGAGTTTCAACGTTCGACAAAATATGTGCTGTGAATATAGAAGATATGTAGCTCGTTTTATTATACTTTATGTTAATAGCAGGCTCAAACTCCAGCATTGGCAGCAAATGTACGAATTGTGCAGGGGCGTAGTGAGAGGGGGCGGGGGGTGAGGACCGCACCGGGTGACACCATTAAGGGGGGTGACACCAAGGCAAAAAATAGGAAAATATATACAGAAAAATTCCATTTAATTAAGTAATTAATTCGAGTGTTAAATAGTCTTTTAAGCGGTGCAAATCGAAAGTTTGACGGGGGATGCAAAATAGAAAGTTTGAGGAGTAGGTGCAAATCGAAAATGTGAGGGGGGGGGGGTGCAAATGGAAAGTTTGTCCCCGGGAAGGGTCGCTACGCCTCTGGGGGGTGACACCAATAAGTGCCGAACCGGGTAAAACCCGACTTCGCTACGCCACTGGAATTGTGTATTGTTATAAGTGTGTACCACGTACTGTATCTTACAAAAATTGTTTCAAATATCCACTGCCATAATGGTTTATTAAGTTTTACAGAAATTGTAATATATATATATACACTGCCATAATGGTTTATTAAGTTTTACTGTAAATGTTTTAATATAAGGGAATATTGTTTTTTTAAATTCACATATAAAAAGTTAATGTATAGCTATGTGTTGTGTAATGTATAAAAATTAAAATGCTTACTAATAAAAAATAAACGAACATTTCAAGTTGTATGTATAAAGGTATTAGAATTGCATACATTAAAAATTGTATGGGTATGAGTGTGGGTGGGGTGGGGGGAGTGTGATTGTTATTGTGATTGTGTGTATGGGTGTTGGTGTGAATTTGGGTGTGTGAGTGTGCGTATTTGCGTGTATATGTCTGTTTGTGTGAGTGTTTGGGTGTAGGTGTGTTGGCGTGCGGGTGTGTATGTGTGTATACCCAAAGTGTATACAATATATTGTTGAAAAGTGAAATTATGGTTACTTATAATTTACTCTATTCTTGCTTATTATAAAAGTTAGTTTTAAAACATAAATAATGTAACATGATACTATTTTTTGTGTAATAATATCAACATTTAACATGTTGATAACATGTAATGGCATTTTTACAATTAACAATATAGAGTGTTCATCAAATGTCTTTCAACCTGAGCCAACGAGCGTCCTTGATCCGGTAATAGTCATATAAAAGAGAGACAAGTGTTTTTAAGTCTGCTTAGCCTAGGACCTAGATTTTAACTGACCTTTCCTTTTGTGAGAAGTATCAAGATATATTCTACACCAGTACACTTATGTACACCAGTACATTTGTGTAACGCCACTTACGTGTTTGTACTAACAATCCAATTTCGCCGTCACCTAACACAATCTTTTCCTATTCACACTCAAGATAAATGGCGCAGATAAAGTAGAGTTAGCATGTTACAACGGTCTCGGCATTGTGTTGTCAGCCGTGCGGCGTCAATTCGGCCAATGACGAAACGGCCCCGTCAAAACGACCTCGACAAAACGGCCCCGTCAAAACGACCCCGTCAAATCGGCCCCGTCAAAAGGACCAGCGACATATGGACCCCGTCATATAGGCTCCCGACAAATAGGCTCCCGTCATTTAGGCTACCGACAAATAGGCTCCCGTTATATAGGCTCCCGACAAAAGGGCTCCAGTCAATAAGGCTCCCGACAAATAGGCTCCCGTCATTTTGGCTCCCGACATATAGGCTCCCGTCATTTAGTTTTTTCCACAAAACGGCCCCCGTTATTACGACTCCCGACAAATAGGCAAGCGTCATTTTGGCTCACGACAAAAAGGCTCCTATCAATTTGGCTCCAGACAAAAGGACCACTGACAATACCGTTTCTGTAGAGACTAAGTCGCCCGGCAAAGCGGTCTCATTGAATATATAGATATAGATGTAGATGTAGATGTAGATGTAGATGTAGATGTAGATGTAGATGTAGATGTAGATGTAGATGTAGATGTAGATGTAGATGTAGATGTAGATGTAGATGTAGATGTAGATGTAGATGTAGATGTAGATGTAGATGTAGATGTAGATGTAGATGTAGATGTAGATGAAGATGTAGATGTAGATGTAGATGTAGATGTAGATGTAGATGTAGATGTAGATGTAGATGTAGATGTAGATGTAGATGTAGATGTAGATGTAGATGTAGATGTAGATGTAGATGTAGATGTAGATGTAGATGTAGATGTAGATGTAGATGTAGATATAGATGTAGATGTAGATGTAGATGTAGATGTAGATGTAGATGTAGATGTAGATGTAGATGTAGATGTAGATGTAGATGTAGATGTAGATGTAGATGTAGATGTAGATGTAGATGTAGATGAAGATATAGATGTAGATGTAGATGTAGATGTAGATGCAGATGTAGATGTAGATGTAGATGTAGATGTAGATGTAGATGTAGATGTAGACAGGGGCGTAGCGAGGGGGGTGAGGACCGCACCGGGTGACACCATTTAGGGGGGCGACACCAAGGCAAAAAATAGCAAAATATATAGAGAAAAATGATAATTCCACTTAATAGAGTGATTAATTAGAGTGTTAAATAGTCTTTATGAGGTGGGGGGTGCAAATCGAAAGTTTGAGGGGGGTGTAAATCGAAAATTGAAAGTTTGTCCCCGGGAAGGGTCGTTGCGCCTCTGGGGGGTGACACCATTAAGTGCCGCACCGGGTGACACCCGACCTCGCTACGCCACTGGATATAGATATAGATATCGATATAGATATAGATAACAATATTTTTGCGGGGTGGCCCATTTTTTCTAGTTCCGCCACTGGCCACTGAATACAGCGTATGCATCTCTTGTTCGGCAGGCCTTATTTTTATATTAGTTTATCTATTATAAAATATAGTATGTTTTAATTTATTGATTCGATAGGCTGTTCCAACTCAGTGTGTGGGGAGAGGGGTCCACGCTATACCTGCAGTATGCTTGTAGGTTATCAAAACAAAATGCCGTTATCCTGTAAACATCATGTATATCATACATTTACACTTCTGTGCTCGCTTTTAAGCAACAGATCTTTTCTGTTGTAAATTAAACATTATTAAAACTTTAGAATTGGTGGAATTTAAATGTTAAGGGCTCGATTTGTTTGTGAATTAATGTTGGTTCATGAAAAACAATTTCGTTCGGGCATTCAAAAGAATGTATAGTGGTATTGGAGGTAGGACAAAATGGTTACTATAATGCCAATAATGGTCATTCATTGGTCTGGAGCCAATATGTCGGGAGTCATTTTGTCAAAAGCCAATATGTCGGGAGCCCAATTGCCTGGAGCCAATATGTCGGGAGCCCATTTGTCGGTAGCCAATATGTCGTGAGCCCATTTGTCTTGAGTCCTTATGTCGGGAGCCAATATTTCGGGAGCCGCTTTGTCGGGAGCCAATATGTCCTGAGCCTATTTGTCAGGGGTTAATATGTCGGGAGCCCATTTGTCAGGAGCCTATATGTCGCAAGTCAATATGACGGGAGCCCATTTGACGGGAGCCAATAAGTCGGGGCCCTTTTGACGGGGCTATTTTGACGGGGTCGGTTTGTCGGGAGTCGATTTGACGGGGTCATATTAACGGGGCCGTTTTGACGGGGCCGATTTGTCCCAGGTCGTTTTGACAGGGCACCGTTGTCAGCATATGCACAGTGCAGGATGGAGTCAGGGATGATATTCATATGTGAACAAGGATTCGAACTCGAGACTTTCGGGTTAACAGTCTCGCACTCAATCTCTAGGCCACGCCGCCCCCTTATAGTCACAATAATACATAACCAAAAACAAATTTAAACCGAAAGAGCAAAGATAGAAAAATCATGCAAGCTTAATAAGGAAAAAAAAACGAAATTTATGTAAGAAAAAACCCGTGATGTAAATATAGCAAATTATTCGTTATGTTTAGAACATGTGTTCTTAAAACATCTTACAACCCACACCGTTTCTCCTACTGTCTATAAGATGCCTCCTATACACGTATTTTACCTGTCAACGATGCACATAGAAAGTTGTACATACTCAGGTGCTCGCGACCTACCTGTAGGTGAACATCAGGTGCAGGGTGCTCTAAGTTCGGGGTCAGACATCGAGAAGTTTTTTATGTTCAATGTCAAGGTCGAGTATACCCACACGGTCTTAAATCAAAGTTAATTAGCATACACTTCTAAAACTCCCGTTACCAATAATGCCAATATCAAGAAAATGTAAACTGAAAAATGTAAAATATAAATATTTGTTTTAAATATTGTACTAACTTTAAAAAAAAAAAAAATAGTATCAATATATGTTCAGGTGGGCAATGCACATGTTAAGCTAACCAAAAAACTAGCTACGAATTTCTATAAGGACTATTTATATCGCTTGATAGGCTTAACTCATGTTAAATGCCTTCCATTAAGGTACTGCTCAAATTGGTTTTTAAGTTTGGTTCTAACTAGAGAAACATTTGTCTGAAGTTCCCACGTACACTGATGTCTTTCGCCGTATTCGTTTATTGCGCACTGTCAGTGGCGACACCATGTAGGGTATCACGTGGTTTGGTAACTGTGGGTGTCAACCCCACCCCCCCCCCCAACCAAAATCATCCCTTACTATTATTTTAACTGTTTTCACTGTAAGTTTTGCGATTTTTGGATTTGGTGTCAACCAGAGTAAATCACACACCCCTCATCCCCGCCCCGCCTTGTAACGCAATAGATTATACATTTTGGCTGATTTTTGGGTTCAAGTCAACCGATCTGGGATATTTTTATTAAAAAATATAGTTCAGGCCAGATAATTTGTGTGGTAAGAGAAATAAATGACTCATAATTTATATAACATAAATTGATAAAAATATAAACACGCACACACATGTATATATATATATATATATATATATATATATATATATATATATATATATATATATATATATATATATATATATATATATATATCATAAAATACGTTAAACAAAACACCTCACAAATATATTTTAGTTAATATTAATTGAATTATCGTGTAACCGGCACTTAGTTTCCAAATACAACGTACGAGCAGATATTCTTTTAAAAGCAAAAGTAAAATGTATAAACACGTGTTGCCTAAGTACATACAGACGTCATCCAGATCTTGACGTCATTAGCATATCACGTGGTAGTAAGTCCATGACAGAATGTGGAGTACTCCACCACGACTCATCGAAATAGTTTTCCCGGCAGTCGAGTAGTCGGAATTCGCTCCTTCAACTTTTTGAGCTTCACGTCCGTTAAACACTTGCACTGGCTAATGAGCTGCTAATGCTGGATTCATCTGCATAAGTGGGCACTACTGGTTCGGCAGGGTGGGGGTCCAGACGGAGGATGAGGGTGGGGGTGAGACAGGTGTAATAAATGTGAACAGGTAAATCGATGTGTTTACCTTGACAAGGTATTTGGACACGTGAAGCAGGAAATTGATTTTGATTGGCTGAATAGCATCAACGTGGTGATATTCTATCACATGTAATGGAACAAATAACGAAATTAACCAAGTCATCGCATAACCGTTTTCAGCTGGGGTAGATGAAGTAGAGTTTGTTTGAATGATGGGGACAGTGTGGTCAGCACTATGCCAACCGTTTCTGTTTCCCTAACGTGAGTTAGGTACCCATTAGAGCCTGGGATCCGACCTAAAACCTTTCATGTTAGCATATGTAAGCTCGACTACATTCCGAATACGCCGTCACTACATAAAGGAGCTATTGAATGGTAAACACTCTTACAAGCTACACACATGCTTCTGGTACTCGGTAACATTAGGTATACGGTAATGGTAACGGTATAGCAATATGTCGCTCATATGTCATACTCCTAAAGGGTCGGGTGGGGGGGGGTCTGCTTTTTGTGGCAACGATGTGTTTCGAGCCGAGGAAGAGAGAGATGGGGCGGGGGGTAGGGCATTTTGAGATGGAAATAAAACAAGCTAAAAAGTCCATAATAGTTGTTGTTTTTTTTAATTTATTTTATTTGTAATATTCATGTATTAAGTTTAACTATAATTTTCGAAAAAAAAAACAGCACTTCCAATGAGGAGGTTATAGGAGGCTGTTTGTGTGAGGAGGGAGGGGTACTTGTATGACGTTATTTGCATATTGGGTTTGGAGGAAGCAGAAATTGAAACAATCAGCATGACGTCATATATGTAAGTATCCTTAACAACTTAGGTACGTTTTTTTTAGATTGTGTTGTTGTTACTATAATAAAAACCAGGAAACATTAGATGCTCATTACAGGGCGGGCGCAGTTAAATCAGTTTACTGTTGAACTATGTCATTATTTACACTTAACGTTTTTTATGCTGTGGACACCACGCTAAACATTCCCTAGAACAACACGTCAGTCAGGATTCAGATAGCATGAAAACCTCACCTCACCGCTACGGCAGGTAGGCAAACATCAAATACAAAATGGTGAATTGAGTTAGGGGAAGGTAAATAGTGCTAACTATAGCATGGGAGTAGGTGTGATTACACAGTGGATAAATATTTTAACTGCCTCAAAAAGGGGAATTAGGATTAGATGAAAAATAGTTTAGGGTTTGATGATGTAAAATTTGTGAAGGTGGTAACGTCATAGCGGGGGGGGGGGGGGAATAGAACTAGTAAGGTTGGAGTAGGCTGTTAAGTGGTGGGGTGGGGGGGGGGGGGTGAGAGTGTGGTGTAGAGTCGGTGGATTCAATAGGTGGGATGGAACAGGTTGAGGTTGGGGTAGAATAGGTGGAGTAGAGTAGTTGGGTGGGAATACTTGGTCTGAATAGGTGGTTTGGAGTAGATGGGGTTTGAATAGATGAGGGTGGAACAGGTTGAGGAATAGGTGTAAAGTGTAGCTGAGGGGGGATAGGTGGGAGGTGAGCAGTTGCGATGCATTATTTGAGGGAGAATATGGTAGGAAGGGTGGGATGGTTGAGTTGAGTAGAATGTGGTCGGTGAGGTTGATTAGTTTTCTGCTGTGAGCGTCTCCGCCCAACTACCCACCCCCATCTCCAACCAAAGTCCCATCCCCCATCTCCACACCACAACCTACCTCTACCTAACTACCCACCTCAAACCATGTATCCATGTAAACCGAACCACTGACCATCACCTCCAAATAACTACTCCCCAAATTCCAACCAATTACCCACCCCCAACCAAATACCCACCCCACCTCCAACCAACTACCCACCACCACCTGTACCAAAATACCCACCCCCATCTCCAACTCACCACCAACCGCATCTCCACCCAACTACCCCCACCCCTCCACTGAACCTCCCACTACACTATGTGACCCGCCCCTGATGAGCGTGATTGTCCTCTTGACAACCCGTCCCTTGAGTACTGACATACCTGTCTCTCACCTGGCTATAAAAGCTAATGAGACACCTGACACGGCTCTCTATTCGGATAGATCTCACAGATAGACGGTAGTACAAAATGGAGACATTATTTAAGGTAAATAGCCTTTACATTACAAGCAAATTGAATTTGGATTAATTCTCATACAGTGGAATGCTAAAATCTTCAGCAGGATTGAATTTTTTAAAATGTAACTTAAACTCATTTATTGATTGACGTAATACAAATTAACAATAAAATAAACTATGATTTTAATTTTTATTTCAAATAACAATATAAAATTGATGTTTCTACCTATTTTTTTTTTCATTCAGACACTCACAGTTACTGCTCTTATTATAGTATGTGGAAAATGTGTACTAGCCTCCCCTAGAGCAGTAAGTATAACTTCAAGATAGATATTGTTTTTTGTATAATCTAATCGGAGGTTGTACACCCTCCCTCCCTTTTTAGTGAATTATTATATTGAAATGAATAAAAATAAAATAGTTCATTCAATGAAAAAATAACTCAAACTAAAAGCTTTAAATGTGTACATTTGAAAGTGATGTTTGTAAAAAAAACAAGCCTAATATTGTTTTCTGGGATTTAATAAAACAATTGCGGATGCCCATTGATAACATTACATAATCAAGAATTCAGTACGCTTTGCATTTTATTTGTTTCGATGCTAGCTGGTACTGTTTGCATATATTGTGGTTGAAATCTTCTAATGTCATTGTACATCATAACACTATATTACCATCTCGAACCATCAACCCACATTTTGTGCCGTTTTTTGAATGTTTACTGATGTGCACCAGCCACCATAACACCATGTAAACTGTTCGAATTGTCAACCCACAATGTGCGCTGTTTGAGATGTTTACCGACATCTAACACAGGCTTGCCTCTACTCTTTGTTACAACTTTATAGAGTAGTGAAAATATACTGCAACGATAACCAAGTAAAAGTTTATTTTAGTTTAAAAAAGTCTTTGTGTTAAATAGAAAACATGAGTTTCCCAAATCAATAGGATAGCTGAAATAAAACGTTTGCCTTTATTATTTTAAATTGTGACGGCATAATTTGGTTGATTAACTTTAACCTAAACCTGAGCCGTAACCCAGACTGGAACCCTAACCCTGATCACGTGATCTTAAGGTAGAGCCTACGACTGCTAACCTGGAAGTCTCGAGTTCCGATCCCGGGCTTGAGTCTGTAGAACGCGACTGAGTCCACTCAGCTCTGATGGGTACCTGACTCAAGTTAGTGAAGCACAGGCGACTGGGCATAGTGCTGACCACGCTATCCCCCAGTATGCTGAGCTCACTCTACTTCCTGTGTTTGGGGAACAGATGTTAATAACGAGATTTTGATGAGGTTTTGGAAAAGGTATTTAGGTAAGCCTATCTATATGTACTATACATAGTTAGTTTTTTCGTTGAAGAATCGATTTGTTTGAACCATGCAATTCTACTATAGGGTGACTGTAGCCATTGGTAAAGTATTTTTAATTAAACACAAAAATTTAACATATATTACCTTATAAATATGCTAAATATAAAAAATAGTAATCTTATATTAATTTTATTTATTTATGTTCGTTTTATTGATGTTTGCTTTTTGGTTGTTTTATTTTTATTTTTTATGTTTTTATGTTATTGTTTTATGTTTAAGTTCTCTAGCATTTTTGAAGGTTTACTTTTTCTCTATCAGTCTTAGTGATTCTGTGACTTGCATCCCTAGGTAGACCCCCTGGCAGCGTGCTCTACCAAACCCCTCCTCTGCCTGATGATGTACCCTGGTCAGTTCACTGACCAGTGCCAGACTGACGCGAACTGTGCCGTGGGGTCAAGGTGCTGCTACAACAGCTGTGTACGGAGCTGTGTCACTATTGACCCTTGCGAGAAAGTGGTGCGTAACTCTTGGCGGCTTGATTGATTTTTCTTAAAGTATGCATTATGTCCCTTCATTCGTTCGCTCTCTACATCACTGATAAAATATGAGTTACTTCCCTTTAGAAGCCGGCTAGCTTGAGCACAACTAATGTTGGAGTTATTTCCCTTTAATCACAGCGAGTAATAAAAACTTAATATTTTACCCTTCCCTCTCCCCATCCCGCCACAGTTGTGTAAGGCCGGATATTCCTGCCAATCTAGAGACACACCCTGTGCCAGCCCACCGTGTCAGAAGGAGGCTGTTTGTATACCAGAATGTGAGTAAAAAAAATATGTATAAAAAAGTAACAGAACTGCTAAATCTGAGATAGGTAAACATTGACTTTTCACGTTCGGATTTCAGTTTACGACGTTGGTTATAAGTTGAGGGAAAATACTAGGATGATTGTTATTCTTGGAGTTACGGTTATTTCTCCGAAAATTATGTGACTCACCCTGGAGAATTGGGGCGTGACCTGTTGACACGTAATACTTAATTGTGTGAGATGAAATCGCCTTTAATATGTCAGTTAATTTACGAAAAAAAGAAGAAAAATATAGGATTAGGCTGTCAGAAGATATAGAAGATGGAATTGCCAATTCAATGAACCAAACTGAGTTATTCCTGACTTGTATATATTATTGTATAAGTAAAGTATTATCGTCTTACTTAGAAATATGGAATTATCTAAAGCCATTGTAATACATTACAGCCCGGGTCTTGTGCCCCACCCTAGCATGCCCCACCCAGTACTGTCCAGCAGGGTATGAACGGGTCATCGACACCTCCGGTTGTGAGACTTGCCAGTGTAAACCCAAGAAAGGTAACTCTAGATTATTTCTTTTTTTATTTTTCTTCCATTACAGGTTTTTCTGTGGTATAAAAGACTTTTTGTCATAGAGCTTTTCAGTACAGTCGTGTACGGTTGTGTACGGGTATGCGGTCGCGTACGGTCGTGTATGGTTGTGTGTTCTTGTGTGCCGTCGGGCACTTTCGTTTACGGCCGTGTGCGGTCGTGTAATGACGTGTGCAGTCGTGTATGGTCATGTGCAGTCTTGAAAGATCAAGTACGGTTGCGAGCTGTAGTGTACCGTCGTACTATTGAAACGTAAGGTTATAAAACCTGAAAGGTTCGAGTTTGTCTAGTTCGGGATCTATACTCTGATGTTTACAACACTGGCATTAAAGAAAAGGTAAAGGCGACAGGGTGGGACGGAGTGGTCTAGCGGTAGAGAGCTGGACTGCTAACCCGTAAGTCTCGAGTTCGAATCCGGGTTTAAGTCAGTAGCACGTCCCTGAGTCCACCCAACTCTGATGGGTACCTAACTCACGTTAGGGAAAGTAAAGGCGGCTGAGCATAGTGCTGACCACATTATCTCTTCATATGCCGAGGTCACAGAAACAAGTAAATTCTACTTCACTTGCACCATAGACCGTCAGGTTTGAAAGGGAAACTCTACTTTTTTTTTAAAGGCGACAGGGCATAGTGCTACTGTTGTAAAGGTTGAGGTCATTGAAACAAATTATCTTTACTTAATCTGCTTCTTGTGTCTTGGACACAAACTTGAAAAAATGACCATGTGTGTCTGCGTGTGTGTATTTGCATGTGTGTGGTATGGTATGTGGTGTGTGTGTGTTATATGTGTGTGTGTTTGCGTATGTACAGTACATCTTTTATTATGTTCAAGAACGTACTCGTAAAACATGGATTGCTAGATTTTAAAAACTGACCAGATAAAATTTTCTTCCCAAGTCTGCAGCTCTACCTGCTTCACGCTCTGCTCCTACGGCTTCCAGCTGGGAGCTGATGGCTGCCCGACTTGTAAGTGTAATCCGGCTCCAGTGAACCCATGCACCAATATGGTAAGCATTGTGTCGTCTGCTGCAAGTAAACTAGTCGCACAACCATACCATTCATGATCTTTTATTAATCACATATATTCACAGGCTCACTTTTTTCAATAATGCTAAGTAAATTAACTGATTGCATAATTTACATTTCAAAATATATACTGTTTTTTTTTTTAAATATACAGAATAGTTTGTTTTTACTTTCCGTTTTTTTGCATCCATACTACCTTTTTGTCGCAAGTAAAATATTGGAAGAAATTAGGATCTATGAAAGCAAACAAAAAATCTATAACTCAGTAAACAAATTAACTACATTTAGTCTTTGCCATCCTGGTGTGACTTTTTTGCATAGCTGTTTTTCATTTAGAGTTGGCTCCAATTAAAGGGTTGCGTTGGGTTTGTTGTTGTTATTTGTAATAGAGCTATGACAGAAATATTACTTTGTGTAATATATCATAGCGTTTTCTATCACACAAGAACAACAAGATTGAGCAATGCATGTAAGCCAACATACAGTAAGAGGATATAAAGTCAAATATTGTTCGATCTTAGTTTCGGTTTCACTAACCTTTGGACATCTTTTTATTTCACTTTCAGACGTGTTCCAAAAGTCAGGAGTGTCGTCTGATCAACGTGGCGTGCACCAAAGCCCCCTGCATGCCTGTAGCCACATGCGTTCGCAGTAAGTCATGCAAATGACTGCTCATCTTTAGAATAAACAATAAAATCATATTGTTTCCGTTAGCGTAAAGAGAAATGGGAAAGAGAAGCTCCCCACAAACTATGACATGATAAACTATGAATGATGAACACATAGCTGATGCGACAAACAGGACCATTGGATATAATTTGTGAAATTCAACATGTGACTTTTTAGATGAAGACCTTAGCAAATATATAGTTGACAGGGTTCTAAGACAAATGACAAAAACATTTACCGAATAATGTTTTGGGAATGAGTCCCATTCTAAAAATGTCCAATTTGTTAGTAATTCAAGCATAAGTACAACACCCATTTGACGGAATAAATGTAGCTGCAAAGTGAACTAAATCTTAAACTTAATCTTTTTATAAACCTTGTTTCACCAACATTTAATACTATTTTTTAACTTATTTGACATATTGAAAAAAACTATTACCGAATATATATGAATAGAGCGATAACAGCATACACATGAAAAGAGCAATAAATAACAATATATTTGTAACTGTCGTTTCAGAACTAGCCTCCCTCTATGACAACAGCTGCAGCCTAAAGGACGCCACAACAACGGGACTTCCTGTCCTGCTCTCAGACAAGAAGACCGAGTTGAACTGTTTCCAACAGTCGTGCCCCGATGGCGCCGTCTGCGTTTCCATGGGAACTAACATCAACCGTTGCTGTTGGCAACAGACACGTAAGTTCTCTTCAGAATGACAATTGTGAATTTTAGACCGTCAAGCAAGAAAATATAAAAAAGAAAAAAAAGAGTGGTGGGAGGATAAAGCGCAGAAATGTATCGTGTTTGAATCCCTGTTGTATGTCCATAAGACTTCCTAAAGTCCACCCAGCTTTGATGAGTACCAGACTCACGTTCATGACAATGAAGTTAACTTGACGTAGACTTTGGACACGCTATACACGCCTCTATCTCATGGACCGCCAGGTGTAAAAGAGTAACTTTACAGATATATATCCTCGCCAAAAAATGCATTGGGTGGTATTTCTGTTGTGTTTTTTATAACATGTCCTACAATTTTAAAACACAAATTTGTTGAGGTTTGCTTTTAACTGCCAAGTTATGTTTTAGTTATTTTTAGACAACATTAATTCAGCTTCGGCTGTTTTGTTTTATGAATATATCAAAAACGTTACAGTATCCTTTTAAATTCAAAAGCCAATAAATAGTATTTTAAAAACGTATTTATGCAACGGAGTAAAAATGTTAATTTATCTCATATTTCATGTATTTATTGTTGTTATTTATTTATTTATTCCTTTGATAGTGGTATTATAGTCGTAAAAAGTGTTTCTTACTGTTGAATAATTTAAATTTGAATATTTGTTTTTGATATTTGGTAAAAACAAAAAAAAATATTATTTTTAAATTTGTCGTTTATTTTCTGTATTTAGAGGAGAAGGTTCTGGACGGGCCCAGGGTCGGGGAGTGCCCCGAGGAGTACATGGTCGACCCCGCCGCCCCGGCCCCCAGGTGCGAGATTGACGCGGAGTGCCCCACCGACCAGAAATGCTGCTACATCAACAAGTCCCCCGGTAAAACCCGATTCTACGGCGTCTGTCTGACGACCATCCACAAGGTACTGGAGAACGCCCCGGAGTTTTGCAGCAGGAACGTCGTTTTATGGTCCATTCTCAGCATGTTTGGTTTCTGTTAAGCGAAGAAAAAAAATTTGCAAACGTTATCAACATCAAAACGTTTGAGTCAAATACGACAAATTATGTTGATTTAAATATTGTCGGGATTACAAAAAACTCATCCCCCTCAACTCCTTAAATTAATTTAAAAATGTGATAAAAAGTGTACATTTTAAACCACTGTAATATGAATTAAATTATTGCTACAATGATTCGCTAGTTTTTGTTATTTATTAATCAAAATATATGTATTGATTGATAATGCTTAAAACATACATTTTAAAGAATGCTACTATTAATGTAGCGGTTTTGCCTTTACTGTGACAAAAGATCAGTTTTGTTTGAATGTAAATTATAATGAAAGAGCATGATCTTCATCGACTAGAATGAAGTAAAACAAATGGCGCCTGCTTAAACTTATATAGGCAATACTTAATTTAACCAATGTCCACCACCCACCTTATTCATCCCAGGAGAAAAATGTCCGAAAGAAACCCTGTAATAATGGCGTTAATGTTTCCAACGTTCGCTCTTTGAAGAAACGTGTCAAGCGCCAGTGATAAACAGAAAGGGTAGACAATTAAAACAAAGCATGTTTCCCCTTTTTGATCATTCTCTCCCTTGCTGATAAATAATGCAAATCACGATCATATTGTCGGCACGACGGATAATGCTAATGGTTCGGGTTACACGACAAGGGTCAATGGATCAGGTTCCAAACTATGACGTAACATTAAGTCCGACCCTTGATATTTTACCCGTCTTGCATCGCTCACCGACCGGCTTGAGTACTTGGTCCAATCGACCATTCAATGATAGCGTCTTGGTACTCCAAGCACAATGTCTGTGCGGTAATAAGTTCATTCAGATACTGCTCATGTACCAGACCCCCTATTTCAACACAGCTGATAGACCCAAGGGGCAAGACGTTAGAATGAGCAATGTCGAACACGTATCTAAGCGAGTTTGTCGTGTTTGAAATGTCACAGTTGGCTAGTGTGGCTATATTCAGGGTGTAAAATATTAACAAGAGTTTCTGATCAATTCATCGTGGACGTATACAAAATATTTCATGTCCTGTCATCAAAGGCAGTGGGACGGCGTGGCCTGGCAACATAGCGCAGGACTTTTTACCCTGAAGTCTAAGTTCGAATCCTGGTTCAAGTCAGTAGAACGTTCCTGAGTCCACCTACATCTGATGGGTATTTAACGCACGTTAATAGAAAAGCCGGCTGGGTATATTGCTGACCACACCATCCCTTGACATACAGAGGTCACATTAACAAATGACATCCACTTTACTTGCCCCATAGACCGTCATGACTGAAAAGATTTTTTTTTACTTTTATTATATTAAACAGGTTGTACAGTAGTCTTGTTTCTGAATTGTGTATTACGAAGTAACGTTACGTGTTTAGCGGGGTTTAGGGGGATCTATTTTAACATACGAAGGCATAACTTTAAAAAAATAGGTTGTTTAATATAATTTGTTGGAGAGACGGAGAGAGAGAGAGAGAGAGAGATGTATACATAGAGTGACAGAGAAAAATAGAGGGAAGGCATATAAGCCTCATCACATTAAGCGGTTTGCCTTTTTTGTATCTCCTGATCATCGCCCGTATGCTGGGAATGTCATCTAGCCCCGTTTGACATTTTCACACAACCCGTGTCATACAATATTCACTACATCGTGAGCTTTATATATGTGCCATAACGGCAAGCTATGAGTGTTGATTACCAATGGACGGCTCTCACAGATATTTAGCCAGTAATCACCTTAATCTGGACTGGAATTAACACTCTACTCGTATGATGCAGCTTACAGTTTTTCTGTTCGGGATACTGGCTAGTTGGCGTAAGTACTGTACTTTTTTTTCTTACTAATATAATATTTTGTTGTTGTTAAAAAAAAGGTATCAAAGATGTAGTGATTGATTTGTATGTAAAATATATACATGGCTTTTCAAGAAGGATAAAAATTTAATTTGAAGTATAAAGATTGCAAGGGAGTATCCTAAAACTTTTAAAATCCACTTTTACAACAGTTCTTTGTAGCATTGAAATTACATTTTTAAAAGTTAAAAATGTATGCTTGTATTTTCCAAAATAAATGCATCATAAAAATGTCTAGATATTTGTTTGTATCATTTGAACATTTAGACCAAACAAATATCAGAAATATTTCCATATTTCATCTTGTAAAGTATTATTCCCAACTGAATTGCTATGCCATAAATTTAAACAGTTCTTTAAAAATTTCGACATTCCAACCTTTAATATTTACATAAAAGACGATCACAAATGATGCAGTACAAATATTGCCTTGAGATGGGTGTATTAAACATTTAGAACATTCACGACAGAGAAGCACAGATAGTTGTCTGTGAAATTAGGTTTCTGAATGTTTGTCTTCGGGTAATTTATTTCATTAATTTATCTCTCGACGTATTAGTTATTTCGTACATCATTTTGTGTTAATAGGAATTAAGGTTAGTATTCAATGTGAAATGGATAATCCACACGAGTCCTCAGTAGATAACATACACATATCACATGATGTAAAGAACGCTTACATTTATCTATCTATCTTTAATATACCTTAGTCAAATTAACCAATGTTTATGAAATAGCATATTTATCATTCTTTTTTACCAAAACTAGTGATCAGTAAATCTGCATTATGTGTTGAATTTCTAAATGCGTAGTTATGAATAAATACTAATGTGTTTGAAATGAATATTTAAAGTAAATTTCATTTCTAGACGGTAATAAAATTGAGTTGCGAGATGTATTTGAAAGTAAAAATACACATTTAATTATTAAACACGAGAAGATTCGGCTTATTTTTTTAAGGCAGAAGTCGAAACGGGCGAGCAAAATTTCGAGCACTTTTTACTAACCTATTCGTTTTAAACTTGTTACATGTGACAAGACCCGATAACGATGCACTATGTCTTCAAATCTTATTTAATTGGATGCTTAATTACTGAATTAATTTAAAATTTTGATACTTAGGGCGGCTTTCTACAATTCTGCACCAGTATACGTACATAATCATGTTCATTTGGTACGTAATGATTTTTACTCAAGAAACTTTATTGAATTAAACATTTTAAAGTACTGAGAAAAAATGCATAAAACGTTTTAGTAACAATATTTTATGTAATAACTAGACTTACCCGTCATCCCTTGGATAACTGTGGATAACTGTGTAGTGACGTCTGTCACTTATCGTCACAAAAAAACCAGCCCCCACATTCAAAAAGACGTTTTTTTTATCTTTTAAAAACACCGATTTCGGCTGAGCATTGGTCTGACCACACTATCCCTTCATATACTGACGTCACAGGTTACCTACTCAACTCTACTTCACCAGCGCAGTATCCCGCCAAGTCTCAGACAACATTATCTTATTGTTTAAAAAAACTATTCCGGCCGAGCATGTCTCTCACCACACTTTCCCTTCATATGCTTAGGACAAAGAAACAGATGAACTCTACTTCACCTGCCCTGTAACCGCCAAGTTCAGATAGGCAACTTCATCATTCACATCTAACAAATAAAAATAAAATTTAAAATTTAACATTGACTTATTGGTCTAGAACCCGTGCCACCCGCATGAAAGCCTATTACACTAACAACTTAGCTATCTAGACTCATATCGTCACTGATTTTTTTTTTTTTGTTAACATATAGTTTAATACTTTGAGTCTCCTTATACAACTTGATCTAGATCTAAGTCTAGTAACTTTCAAATTACATTTTATCTTAAATTAGCCAATGCAATAGCTAAACAACCAAAGATTTATATTTTAAAAAATGCAGGTCTGAAATAGATTAGTATAGAAACTCATTATGCTCTAGAAATAGATAGAATTATCTAGATTCTACGTCTCGTTTGCCTAAGTCTAGTCTTTGCGTAACTCTTACTAGATCTAGATTAGATCGATTCTAGATCTAGATAGATAAATCACAAACATTTATATCAAGTATTTAAGGACTAAAGTAGTTTAATAAAGAAACTCAAAAATGTGTTATAATTTTAAAATGGATTGTATTTTTAACTAATTAGTCTTTGGTTTGACCTAGATTATAGATCTAGATCTATAAATAACTTTTTTGTAAAACTAAATGAAAAAGTCTGTTGAAAATTTATATAAGTTTTGGAACGTAATAAAATAGCAAACGGACGTATTGTTAAAGTTATAGCCGACAGAAAATTAGCTTTATAACGCGTTAAAGATCTGAATAAGTAACGAAATCCGCCATTTGATGTAATAAAAAGTAAACAAAACATGTGACGTCACTATTCACTCAAAGTAAAGTCGTTTTTCTAAACATTTAAAATTAATGTAGTTAATCTACCAATGAATAAATCAATAAATTAATTAACGTCTTTAAATAAATTTGTGATTAACAGTCTGTCTGAAAAAAAAATTCTCTACTTACATACTATTTTACAGCTCTACACATAGTGCATATTCTCTCCAGTAGCCAATCAGACAAACGTGATCTTTAGTAGTATTTAGATGTACTAAAATGAGTAAATAAATGATAATACATTACTATTTAAATAATTATTTACAAAGACTCGGCTCTCTTCGTAAATATTAGTAAAGGTATCCAATAGATAATATAGTGATATTCGCTCAAAAGCACTGGTCTGGGGATCATGCCAAAGATGAAATATTTATTTCGGGTAAAGAGGCTATATAGATGGTTTTTCACTGGGAAACTGGGTCGTCGAGTATTTATTTTAAAATCGCATGAAAATGGTTTATAATCTGGTAACATTTTGTCTTAATTTTTTTATAGTCCAAAAACAAAAAATGCAACCATATATAAAAGATATACTTTTGTTTTTAAAACAGCTGACGGCATAAGGGCTGAGTACCAACTACCACTGGACGACTGCCGAGAGGGTGACATCGACCTGCTTCTGGTCTCTGATCCCTGGAGCGATTCGGCTCTTCAAACCCGGAGATTTAAAAATGTGGTCCAGTGGTTTTTCCCTGCATCGAACAACGATCCAATGAGACTACGGCTTCACTTGTTGGTTCACGTGAACGAGACTCATTCTGAATCTTTGATTCACTTTGATTATTATAACACTACTGATGGGTTAACGGAAGGTTTAGACCGGATCGTTGCAAATCAAACATTTATAACTAAACTTAATAAATATTACAGCCGAAAGTGTCTGGAAAACGCTGAAGAAATATTTGAGACATCAAAGCGAATTCATGCCAAGCGACTGGCGATAGTGTTCACGTTTGTCGACCATTGGCGTTGTACACAAACTAGAAAACTTCTTGTCAGACATCCCATAGAATACTCATTTTATACGTATTTTATCAGAGATACATCATCATACACGTATGACGATAGAGACCAAAATGTTCGAGTAATTTCGGGAACAGAGGATTTGTCGAACGACCAAAAGATTGGTGGCTCGCTGTGTGGGCAATGTTTAAATGGGTGGCTGACATTGAGAACAAATGGATCAAGGTCAAAGCTGTCCTGTTTCTTTATAAAGGAATTTGATAAAGGCGTCAGTCGTAAAAAAGCTTCGTCTTTCTGTGACTTATTGAAAACGAAATTAGCTTCTATCGAAACAAAGAAAGAATTTAATTTTTTACAGACACATATCGAGGGTATAATTCAGAAAAATTCTGATTATTTTGTTCATATCGGTCTTGCTCAAAGAAAATATAACAATGTGTATGGGTTTCTTTGGGACAGTAACCTTCCTTTGACCTTTACCTTCCCCATGGCTGTGACCAATGATAGGACCCCCAGTAGCATTAAACACTTTGCATGGATCAGCCGCATCAGGTCAAGTGATGGTAAAGTCAAGTGTGACAGCGTGGCAGACGTACAAGAAACACAGCTGGTGATTTGTGAACTTCAGGATATCCAACCTACGACCAAAATCGTTGCTGAAATTCAGAAAACAAGAGACGAACATTTTTTTAAATTAAAAAATAATTCAGAATTTATTTATCACACTGACTTGACCAGCAGTTTTTTGCTTTCAACCTCAAATCACAGAAAATACACCGCTGAAATACAGCTACTGCTGTTTGTCTGTAACCACCACAACAGTGTTCCTTATACTTTAGTCTGTGACGGATACGAAGATTGCTATGACGGCAAAGACGAGGAGGTTTGCGCCAAGTTTTCATCCAGCTCTAGGCTGTCCGCACACAACCAACCGTGCAAAACAAAAATCGAGTTTTCTCCAGAACATTTCTTCTCTGATGAGCAACGTTGTGACGGGCACCTCGATTGCCCCGAGGGTGATGATGAAGCGGGTTGTGATGACGTCTGCTTGGAGACCTTGTGTGACGACGGCACGTGTCTACCGAGTCAGTGGTTCACAAACTCGAGTCGTGCGTGTAGGTTCATTTTGCCAGTCAACGGAGTTACAAACTCTTCTTTAAACCTAACTCATAGCAACAATTGTTCAGAGTTTTGTGACGATGGACCTTGTGTCTACCCGAAGGAACTTGCTCAAGGGATCGTGTTCTGTGATGACAAATACATGGACGGAAATTCTTGTAGTAATGTTCTTGAAAATAAAACCTGGGCAGCTCGTTGCATTCTTCTAAAAGGACGATTTAACACTAAATTAGGTTGTTTGGATTTGTCGCATCTAGATAACTGCGAGACGTTCAATTGTCCAGAAGGTTTGTTTAAGTGTCCTAGCTCCTATTGTATTCCTGTGTATAACCTTAACGATGGCTATCCAGATTGTCCCTTTGGAGAGGACGAAGATGTCCAAATAGTTTCTGAAAATCTTTTTCAATGTATTGCCATGGATGACTCTAAGAGTATATACATCCTGCCTGTTCACGTATGTGACAACAAGACACATTGTCCTCGCGGTGATGACGAGCTGGGCTGTCACGTGACATGTCCTGCAGGGTTCCAGTGTCTCGCTGGCACGGTCAACCCCGTCATACACCCCGACAAAATTATCCTAACCAGTCTCAGTGAACTCCACACCCACACCAAATTTTTAAACTTGTCTGGCGTTGATTTATCCCGTGTTAGTACTCCTGGAAGTCTTAATAAACTGCTTGAGCTTCATGCATCCAACTGTAATTTATCGAGTGCCGAGAATATTTTTTTTAATGACGAAATCGACGTTGATGTGTACCTTATAGACATGAGTTTCAACAACATGCAAGAAATCAACGACGATAGTTTGTTTAGCCTAACGAAAAATTTAAAAATACTTAATCTCTCCCATAACCTGGCGTTGCACAACTTAGACATAGATTTCAGCGCTTTACGAATAAACTCACTAGACGTATCTTTTACAAACCTTATGACTTTTAATTTTCAAAATAATTGGTTTCAATTTTTAAATTTAAGTTTCACCCGAATTAGATATTTGGATTTTTACGGTGAGAGTATCAAGCTGGGGACCTTTGATTTAAGGTCAACGGGATTAATGATAGACCTGAAAACTTCCAATGCACTCGCTCATCTTAGCGTCACATCAGCTATGTTTGGAGACAGTTTTAAAATATGCTGTCCCCAGATACGAGGCCCGGGTATCCCTGGGGATTTCTGTTTCGCCCCACAGGACGCTTTTTCTTCGTGTGAAGATCTTCTAGGCGACCAAGTCAAGCGGATACTGTTGTGGATCCTGGCTGTGGTGTCTGTGGGTGGTAATCTGACGGTCATCGGGTTTAGGTTACTGTTAGAGAGACAACTTATCACAAAAAGTTATCGGTTATTCATAACGAACCTCAGCATATCCGACCTTATCATGGGGTTGTATCTGTTTATCATAGCCGGAAATGACGTCTACTACCGAGAAGATTACGTCATGTATGAGTCAGAATGGCGTCACAGCTCTCTGTGTACAGCTGCTGGTTTCCTAGCAACTCTCTCGTGTGAAACGTCAGCGTTGTTTGTGCTGCTCGTCACACTAGAAAGGTATTTGGTCATAAGGTTCCCACTTGGTCCGTACAGGATTAAACGCGTCAAAAAGTATTTCTTACTTCTTGTGTCCTGGGTAGTTGGCGTCGTTTTGGCCGTTGTTCCTTTGGTGTACCCAGATTGGGGCGTTTATTCCTCTAACGGCATGTGCCTTGGCTTGCCAATGACACGAAACCAAGAATCAGGATGGGCGTATTCATTGGGGGTGTTCTTGATTTGTAATTGCATCTTATTTATTTTAATAGCCGTGGGTCAGTTGGCCATATTTCAGGTCATGTCTCGTGAAAAGACACAGCTTCACACCGGCGCCCTCAGTTTAGCCAAGCGAAGACGTGAGATCATGGTCGCCAAAAACTTGTCCCTGGTTGTCATGTCCAATTTCCTCTGTTGGTTTCCTATCTGCGTCATTGGTCTAATGACCGCGCGTGGTCACACGTTCAGTCAGCAGACGTACGGCTGGCTGGCTGTGTTTGTACTGCCGCTAAACTCGGCCGTTAATCCGGTTATCTACACACTTCCGGTTGTCTACAAAAAGTGGGAGGATTTTAAAAACGGAAAAACGAAGAACAATTCTTGTACTGAGGTTACCACGACCTGATTAGTCATATAGCCGTGTAGCCTTTGCAGAAGACGAATAAAGTAGTAGGCCTAAATCACCAACCAGGGTTGGATTAGTAAGTGTTATATTCTGCAAACGGCATAACAGTAGGGGAAAAAGAAATAGTATACCACCATGTTTATAAAAATATGGATTATTTAGATTTAATATATTCGGACTTAAAATTCTAGCTTTTATCATTAATATAAATATATCAGGTAAATAATATAAACACACATTTGAAGACCACACGGGATATACCACAGATATCCACTTTTTTAAAATGTTTAAGCCAGTGCAATCTTCATGAAGTATTTATTTAAGTCTATTACGTAACAATATGAAAGCGTAAAACCACCTTAATCCCCTAAATATTTTGGATTTTAATATCATGCCACAATGGAACAGCAGAGGATCGCAAACATATTTTTTTAATCGAACATCATATGGTGTAGATCTAATATTTTCTGAATTTGCTTGGCATTATGTTGATATTAAATGTTTACAATAGTAATGCTTTTTTAAAAAACTTTTTATAACACAAATTTACAAAACAGTACATGTTTAGTAAAAGAATGAGATTGACTCTAGAAATGTAATTTAAGCGAAGGAGTTGTAAATATTTAGGGATTGGTTGAATATCAACACACATTTTTCCCTAATGTAACAAGTGCTATTTTTTATCTTTTTTCTTCAGATTGCATACTATGTAACAAAATTAATTAAAAGAGATATATTCTTCGCATGTGTATGTTATTTAGATATTTTTTCTAATAACTTTTACCTAATTAGTCTTAAACCCGTGAAGCCCATGTAGAAGATGAATATAGTAGTAGGCCTAAATCACTAACCAGGGTTGGATTATTAAGTGTTGTATTCTGCAAACGGCATAAAAGTAGGGGAAAAATAAATAGTATACTACAATGTTTAAAAAATTTATGGATTGTTTAGATGTAATATCTGCGGACATAAAATTTAAGCTTTTATTAATGCTATAAATATATCAAGCAATTACATGTAAACAAACATTTGAAGACCACACGGGATAAACCACAGATGTCCACTTCTTTAAAATTTTTAAGTCAGTGCAATCTTCATGTAGTATTTATTTAAGTCTATTACCTAACAATATGAAAGCGTAAAACCACCTTAATTCCCTAAATATTTTGGATTTTAATATCATGCCGAAATGGAACAGCAAGGGATCGCAATCACATTTTTTAAAATTCGAACATCATATGGTGTAGATCTAATATTTTCTGAATTTGCTGTATATTGAGATTAAATGATTGCGCTAGTCATTTTTTTTTAAAACTGTTAAGAAAAACAAATTTACTTTACAGTACATGTTTAGTAAAAGAGGGAGATTGACTCTAGAAATGTAATTTAAGCGAAGGGGTTGTAAATATTAAGGGATTGGTTGAATATCAACACATATTTTTCTCTAATGTAACAAGTGCTATTTTTATCACTTTTTTCTTCAGGTTGCATCCTTTGTAACAAAAGTTACTGAAAGAGATAATCTACTTCGCATGTGTATGCTATTTCAATGTTTTTTCTAATAACATTTTACCTGATTCAAACTTGACAAATTCACAAAACTGTATAATCGTAGAAGAAGCTTTTACAATTTCGACGAGAAATAGTTATAATAGATTTACTTGGTTCGTTCCCTTTGACCATTCTAAAACAAACTTGTGGCACAAAGTGAGAACATAATACTTGGCAGGTTATTGCAGTGAGTTCCACTTTCCAACCTATCGGTCAGATGTACTAGATATCAAGTCAAGACACTTTATTTTCCCTCTTTTCATTCAGGTACTCGACAGGGCTGAGTGGACTCAGAGGCGTCCTACCCTTTCGAAACTGGCGGTCAGATGTACTAGAAATCAAGTAAAGACACGTTATTTTTCCCAAATTACAGTCCGGTACTCAGCATTGCTGAGTGGACTCTTGAGCGTCCAATAAAATCGACTCCAAAATCTTAAGTCGTTAATTTCTGGCAAGCAGCCGTGATTGTAGTGAATATAAACATTAAATAAATTCCTTGTAACTCAGAAATGTTTGCTTGAGTACTGAATACACTTGAATATTAATGTTTATGGAGGGAACAGGACATTACTCCCCCCCCCCGTCAATTACCCCATTCCCGACATCCCCCCGCCCCCCTGAGCAATTACCCTTTTTTTATTTTATTTGCATTAAAAGTTCAATGTTAAATTAATGTTCATAAGTGTAATAAAAAAATTTTAATTGTTTTTTTTTAGGCCATGGTGTCTTAAACATAGATAACTGTACTGTAATTTTGAATAAATTTCTTGTTTTTTTAATGTGAATGTTTCCTCTATTTTTTTCTTTAAAGAGTTACCGAACTTGAAAGAAATGTACATTTATTGTAAGTTAATAAGCGATGTAATGTTAATTTACATTTATTTTCAGCTAACACATAACAAAAAGCACATTCGTTACTAAATTTAAAAAAAAAAAATTAAATTTTTAATACGTTTAAGCCACCTATTATGGTCATATTGTAGTAAAATTGTCGATTGTAGTAAGCAACCATATCCCAATTTGATGGCGTTTTTTAAACGAATGCAGGCGCCAAAGCGCTCATGGGATGCCGTGTGTGTGCTAGAGGACACTCAGGTAGCGTTTGACAATTGACTCTTGATAACTGTTCCTTTTCCAGGCTGACAGATAATGTGGCGAGTAGAGCTATTCAGCTATTTATTTAAACTCGTCATATTCAAATATGGTGTGGTCAACACAATATCCAGTCACATTTAATTTCCTCTAAATTGTATCAGATGCCCATCACAGCTAGGATTTGAACCCTGAGTTTAACTCGTAGCTTTCGTGTCAGCAGTCGTAACCTCTACCATCCAACCACGCCGTTCCATCTAATCCTTCGTGCATGATGCCAAATTCAGGGGTCCCAGGTGCTTAAGCGGATGCAGAGAAACAAGTGGCGATAAAACTGACATTGTCCCGAGGGGCAGCACATTATATATTCAGAGCCTTTTGTAATGGCATCAACCTTTATTCACAACGGGAAACAACAAAGTTAATGTTAGAAGTGTAGCTAGGGCTGGGCGACACAAAGGGTAAAAAAAAATGCAAAATATGTAAAAGGAACATGCTTTTAGCAGTTTAATTAATAAGAATAGGCTTTTAAGTACAAACTGTCAAACCATGTGGGGGTGCGTGGGATTGTGTGGATGGGGGAGCAGGGTAAAACCATCATTTAAGCTTGCTAAACCCAGCTTATTAACAATCTAATAAACGTTATTTTTAAATTGTGCAAACAAAATGAAAATGTGCAAAATTTTAGTTTTAAAACTGTTTTTTTTTAAAAGTTATTTTAATAAATTATACTACAACTTCGTCGAAAAGCAACCGGGGTTGGGTGACAGGGGCGGAACTACAGTGCCGCCAGACCCCGCAATGCGGGGGGGCCCACGCCATTTAGGAGCCCATAGCCGACCATGATAAATTTTTTGCAGTTTAAAAAAATAATTTTCTTGCATTTTCGACTTGACGGTAAAAGCTTTTGTAAATAACAAACAGATCTACTACAGAAGTGATGTTATACAGTAGCTTACACATGCTGTTGCATAAAAAAAATATAGCAAACGTTCAAAACGCTTCCATGACTTATTTCCCTTTTTTAAAAGGTTAAATAGCGGTGCTCATAAGCTCATTTTAATATATTTGTATTAAACAAATTAAAAAGCAATTACTTCTATTTATTATTATTTTAAAAAAAAATTTACTAAAGATTGACATAGCATAAAAAGGAAATATATTTAAAACAAATAATACAAATACAAAAGAACATAAAAATAAACATAACACGAGAAACCATTACGCATACAAAGCTTTCACGCTTCATATTCTTTTGTCCAGCTAAAGTCGAGAGTGTAGACCGTATTACAGAAAAAAATAATTGAATAAACTAGTTCTAATTTTAATTTAAAAAAAAAAAATAAATAAATAAAAAAAAAAAAAAAAAAAAAAAAAAAAAAAAAAAAAACTAGTTCTAATTTATGTAAACAATGTCACTATAAATATGTTGTATTTTGTTTTATGGAAAATAAACTTATTAAAAAAAAAACTAGTTCTAAATCTAAAAAAAAAAAAATTCAAAACAGACTAATGCACTCTCAGACATGACATGAAATTTGTTTAAATTGAAAAAAAAAACATTAAAAAAAATACCCGATTAGGCCTGAAATGACTATCCAATGTTTGTATTCTATGTTTATATATATGTATATATAGGGGGGGGGGCAGAATTTTTTTTTTGCGGGGTGGCCCTTTTTTTCTAGTTCCGCCACTGTTGGGTGACGCCACATTTAATAATTTACTATGAAAACCGCTTTTTTTATACATGAAATAATAGGTGGATTAATATTATTGAGGACATTAGGCAAAAATTAGAGAGGGGCGAAAATGACAACAATTACTAATTCAACAGAATAATGTACTGGTCAGAAAAAAATACACCACACTTTTTTAAAATGTTAAAATCAACTAAAACCATTCCAAATACTATACATATTTTGTGTAAGATATTTTATCTCAGACTATTTGCCCATGGTATAATAAGTCCTGATTTTGTTTGTCCTGAGACCTTTAATAGGTGATAGTATTTATCCTGGAGATAAATTTCGGCCTATTTCGTTATCAGAAAAGCAAGAGCATATCATGGGTGTGACCGTGCTTTTATACTAATCACATTAGTAAATTAAAAAATCAGTAAATTAGATTATTGTAGTAAAATATAAATTTCTAGTATCGCCTGTTAAAACAAGATGAATTTGTTTAACATTCTGAAACACTGTTTTTTTTTTAATTTGACATTTATAGCAATTCGTTTAGCATGTGTCGGTGCGGTGTAGCATGTCCGCTGGTGAGATCTATTAGACCAGTGGTTCCCAAACTTTTTCGAGTGGCGACCCCCTTTCATAAAACGTAAGTCACCCGCGACCCTCATATAA